TCGAACCTGCGCTCCCAAAGGGAAACGCCTTAGCAGGGCGCCGCGTTAACCACTCCGCCAACAGGACTTTCTGATGCAAGATGGCTTCAAACCCTGCATCCGCCGACTTTCCATCCCTTCAAAAAAGTCCGACGACCCGGGGTCGATCCGGGGGCCTCCTGATATCAATGTTCACATTACAGTCAGATGCTCTACCAACTGAGCTATCATCGGACGTACTCGCAGAATCCTCATTTTCCTTTTCTTGAGTTTGACTGTCATGTTCATCATACTTGACACACCAACCATGACAAAAGTACAAAAGACCGTGCAGTAGCCGGGATTCGAACCCGGGTCGCATGCTTGGAAGGCAGGCATAATAACCACTATACAACTACTGCATGTTGTGCTTTGATCAACATGGCGTCCCTATCTTTTTTCATACAACAATTTCATAGTATGATTTATCAAAAGCGCTCCCAGACGGGGAATTGAACCCCGGTCTCGCCCGTGACAGGGGCGGATACTAGCCACTATACTATCTGGGATTGTGATGCTGCCTTTGTTTAGTGATACTCGTTTCTTATTTCTTTCATCATTCACTTAATTCTTTCATCAAGATTCTCTTAGTGTAAGTTGGCTCATGCACAGACTTTCCTGTTGCTGAAAGAATAATTCTTTCAATGGACCTCTGTCTAAGGGGTTCAATAACAAAAGTTATATGCAGTAATAAGACATTTGTTAGCATAGAGAACAGAATCACTGAAGATGTGTTGGTATTTATTTTATTTAGAAATATTTGGTGGCATAACAGTATGTTAATTCAATTACAAGTATTGTGAATTGTTTGTGGAGGTTTACATACATCTTGTATAAACAATAACAAGTTAAAAATGTAAACTTATTGAAACAGAAGAATTTCAAGAAAGATGTTGAGTCAGAACATTGTATTGGAGCAAAAAGATTGAGAAGAGGAGGGACAAGGGACAAGCGAGAGGAAGAGGGAGAAAAGAAGCGAAAACAGAAATGATTTTTGGTTGGCT